GGTTACACTAAATCTGTAGATTTCTTTGCAGTATGGACAGTTTAATAATATTGACTCTTTCAGTCCATGAGCAGGTGATATCTTTCTATTTATTTGTATCTTCACTTTCTTTCATTAATGTCTTACAGTTTTCAATATATAGGTCTTTCACCTCCTTGGTTAAGTTTGTTCCTAGATATTTTATTCTTTTGAACATAACTGTAAATAGGATTGTTTTCTTTATTTCTCTTTCTGGTAGTTGATTATCAGTTTATAGAAATGCAACAAATTAGGTCTAATAATCTAGTGACTTTTATTATAGTTCGAAAAGATACTACAAAGAAAAATCACAAACACATGGTGTAATAAGTAGCTTTTTAAGTACATTTTAAAAGATTTGATAAGACCAAAGCTACTTGCAGCTGTCACATACTGGATGGCAACTAGAATTTTCTTTAACTGGGGAGTGGACATAGGGGCAACAAAACCTCCTGAGTGGGGAATAAAAGAGATACCACAAACTAACCACTCCTCAAAGGCGAGGTGAGATAAGGTTCATAATGCTGATTCAAGATCATGCAGAGGTTAAAAAGAAAAAATAAAAAACAAAAACCATGAGTTTGGAACAGGTACCTATATGGGCTATCATTTACACACACATTGGAGGGACTGATTGACAACCAAGTTGTAGAAAGAGCATGGCTTTGGAGCCAGAAAATCTGTACTGAATCTTTAATAGGACTCTTGGTGAAGACCTTTCCTACCTAGACTAGTTCCGTGTCCTCCTAAATGATTCTGTTGATCCAATCTCTATCGATTCCAATTCATCCTCCACAATCTTATCACAATTACTTCATAAAAACCAAATCCGGTCGTAGAACCCTATGCTTAAATAAGGTCATGTTTGAGATAAAATACTCAGCAAGACCCTTTTTCTCATAAGGATCTTGTCAATTGGACTCTAATTCCATTCTTTAGCCCTATGTACCCCCTTCCCTTGCTCACTATGTGCTCTGCCTGGCATCATCTAAGGCTATTCTCTACCATTCCTCTGCCCAGAGTACCCGTTTTACCTGACAACCCCCTACTCATTCTTTTTTTTTTTTTTTGATGTTTTATTTATTTCTAGGAGAGAGAGAGAGACAGCGTGAGCAGGGGAGGGTCAGAGAGAGAGGGAGTCACAGACTGAAACAGGCTCCAGGCTTTGAGCTGGCAGTCAGCACAGAGCCCGACACGGGGCTTGAACCCACAAACCGCGAGATCATGACCTAAGCGAAAGTCAGACGCTTAACTGACTAAGCCACCCAGGGGCCCCTCCCTACTCATTCTTTAAGGCCCAATGAAGGATCCTCTTTATGAGGAAATAGTTCCTAACTCCCCTAGGCAGTTAACAATCCTTCTTTGTTATCCAAAGATAACATATTTAAATCACTCACTGTACAGCATTGAAATTACCTATTTACCTGCTCAGGCCCCTCCTCCAATCCCAGGACGACTTCTTCCTCTCACTGATAACCATAAAAGTCAAACTGTGAGTGTCTCAAAGATAGGATTATTTTGGAACTGCAGCGCCTAGTATCTACCAACTAGCCAATAAATATTTATTCAACAAAAAAAATGAATAATGAGTGAGTGAATGAATGACTACCTTGATGGTACTCTGAATAGCTAAAACCTAAGAAGTTTGATGAATAGGATTTGTGACAATCAAAGGAAGAGGAAGGAGATAAAATGATGGATGTGATTTCAGAAAGTGATAAAATACGTACTGTATATATACTTAAGGGCAGCAAATGAACATGAATAATAAATATAAATAATATTTATGAGTACAAAGGTAAGTGCATTATTTTCCCTAGAGGCTAGAACTGCTTTTCCTAACCCATTACTACCCTGATGGGTCAAAAATGTTTTTTGGCACACACAGTAAGTTATAAAATGTGAACTATGTATCTGTCAAACAGTAACAAAGTACAGTTTAACCTAGTAAGTGGTATCAACTCCTTCGGTGCCTCTATAATCCATTTATCTAAATCCTACTAAGCTGGAGGATTACAGTTCTCATATATCTGAATAGTTCTTTCCAAGGTTTAGGCAAGTGGTTCATACATACAGTAAACCAGGCTGTACAAATCAGCTATCTAATTGCACAAAAGAAAGTAAAAGTTTCATGTGACAACTACATTTTCCTAGAAAGAAAAAGATACAAAGGAAGGAAATTATCATCATGCCAAACTAGCAAGTAAAAAGTGCTCAAAGACAGATTTTTTTTCTGAATCCCCAAACAAGAACTAGCCAAAAATTGTAAAAGCAGCAGCCAAAAGAGCTACTAAAAACACACCTGAACTCTCAATGGAGACTTCACAGTAATAGGGAAGTTTTATGGAAATAGACACTGGATCTTCAAATATCCATTTAAGAAAGGAACATTAGAAAAGTAATTTTTAAAAAGCAGAGATGGTATAGGTGGTTCAATGTACCACAAAGTAGTTAAAGTACAAATTACAAAGATATTATTACCATAAGGTCTCATCAGATGAGAAACAGAAATAGGAATTTAACTAATACCACCCACAAATAACTAGAACTTATTTATTGAAGTAAATATACTTATTTGAAATAAATATAAACCTTCCTTAGGATTTGGGGAAATTCTTGCTAATCTTTGACCTAACATTTGGTATATACTAGTTAGGACAAGGAGTGGAGGAAACAAACGTTGGTATTCACTGGGTCTTAAAGAAATTAGAAATGAGGGGGTGCTCTGACTCTTGATACCAGCTCAGGTCATGATCTCTCAGTCATGGATGGAACCCCGCATTGGGCTTCATGCTGAGCATGGAGCCTGCTTGGGATTCTCTCTCTCTCTGTCCCTCCCCCATTCATGTGCACACGTGTACTCTCGCTCTCTCAAACTAAATAAACTTAAAAAAAACAGAAATGAGGGAAGCCTGGGTGGCTCAGTCAGTTAAGCGTCCGACTTCAGCTCAGGTCATGATCTCACCCTTCGTGGGTTCAAGCCCCACGTCGGGCTGTGCACTAACAGCCAGCTCAGAGCCTGGAGCCTGTTTCAGATTCTGTACCTCCCTGTCTCTCTGACCCTCCCCTGCTCATACTGTCTCTCTCTCTCTCAGAAATAAATAAAACATTTAAAAAATTAAAAAAAAAAAAAAGAAATGAGAAGTGAGAAACCTAACTGAGCCACAGTGACAAGGATGTGTAACCTCGCTCTCCTAGTCTTATGAAATAGAAGAAATTTCGGGGCGCCCAGGTGGCTTAGTTGGTTAAGCGACCGACTTTCGCTTAGGTCATGATCTCGCGGTTCGTGGGTTCGAGCCCCGCGTCGGGCTCTGTGCTGACTGCCAGCTCGGAGCCTGGAGCCTGTTTCAGTCTGTGACTCCCTCTGTCTCTGACCCTCCCCTGCTCACGCTGTCTCTCCCTCTCTCTCTCTCTCTCCCTCTCTCTCTCTCTCTCTCCTAGAAATAAATAAAACATTAAAAAAAAAAAAGAAATAGAAGAAATTTCTTTGTGGAAAAGTAAGATCTTGATCTCAATTCACAATGGTGTGCAGAATCATATTTGTCATAATAATTTATACTTATGATTTATGGTAATCATAACTGAACCTGGGCTTAATGTTTCTGATACAATCACCTACTTGCCCTTAGCAAGAGAAAGAAGTCCGCCTGATGACAAGTGTTTATAGATTATACTTCATTGATGCCACTGTTACATTCGAATGTGTTGTAAATTAGTGACATAATGCAAACTAACCACGAAATTAATTCTTATTTTGTTAATCCCATTCCCCAAAAGGTGAGACCAACTAGCATCACCTGTGTATTTCAAATTTATCTGAAATACGTACAATAATTACGTGCAAATTTTTACAATAAGGAAAAAACCTAAAAACCGCAAGTGAAGTCAAATGAAACAAAATTTCCAAAAAATGCTGATAAATGATTCCATGGGAATCATTGATAGTGGATTTCTATGCCCATGCCTTTTTTCTCCTTAAGTTTCCTTTCTAGCGATGGATGTCAGCTATTTCTACATTGCCTTTACTTTATAATATTCAACTTCTGACTTGCTTTTCCTAGAAAAAAAGCAAAACTAAGGAAGCTTTAGTCTTTAAATTTCAATATTTTATGCTTTATTTGTTCAAACACTGAACTTAAAATCATGCGAGCTGTGATCAAGAGATGTATTAATTCGCAAGCAAAGTTATAAAATATCTTAATGTTTCTAAACTGCAACTTAGACTCTACCATTAAGCATAGGCTCAAATCCCACTTCTGCTACTTACCAGCTCTGTGACCCTGACCAAGTTACTCAACCTCTCTGTCCTCAGTTTTCCAAAGAGTAAAATTAACAGAGTCAACAGTAGTACCTACTTCACAGAGTTGCTGTTAGACCAGTTAATATAGCTAGAGCTTAGAACAGCACTCTCTATATAGGTGCTTGCTGTCGTTATTTAAACAGAGCCTGCAGCCTGTTTCGGATTCTGGCTCTGGCTCTCTCTGCCCCTCCCCCACTTGTGCTCTGTCTCTGTCTCTAAAATAAATAAACATTAAAAAAATTTTGTTTTTAATCTGTAAAAGAAGATGAGAAAGGTGTTGTACATATTTCATTTTATCTAAATTTTTCTTCTAAAATATTTGAAGGGAAAAAAAGTATCTTTTCCTCCTTTCAAAACTCTCACAACCCTAATGGCCTTCGCTTCTCCAGAAATTTTGCAACAGCTCCTTGGATGATAAATATTTCCTAAAATGAAAAGCCACGTAAATTTTTCATCTCTTTCCTAATGTTATCAAACACAATTGTGTTAACTTTGAGGGCATTCTGGAATTTGGAGCATTTGACAAATAATAAAATAGAATTATAAATTAGTCTAGACTATAAATATTAAAATGCTCAGTCTTTCTCCCGTCGTCTTCAGTTTGTGTACTAAAAAGGGGGTATAAAATGGCCCCTAAAACCCTTCCACAATAGAGGTCAGTATGATTGAACCCCAATACTACCTTTATCACTTCCATAATAATAGAATACTGTTTTACTGAGAGCACACCACCGTTTCTGCCATTCGAATCCCAGAAAGCTGTGATCTACAAAAAAGGGGGAAAAGGAACAGTTTAGGCAATATAGATTACATATACAGTGTAAGTGTAACACCATTAAAAGAGAAAGTCTGTTAATATGATTTCGAAGGTTTTTATCAGCTCTGAAATTCTAGAACTAATTAACTTGTATCTTCCTCTTTAAGAGACAAACGAAAACAAAACCCTAAAACAAAAATAAAGCTAAAAGGAACACAGTGAAGCAGAGACGGGACTGCTGCACTCGTGGCTAACACACCTTCCTGACAGGGACAGTCAAAAGACATTTGACACACTGCTTTGAGACAACGGATTCATCTGGGTCTCCATTTCTCATCTGTTATAAAAGGGCGGGGGGAGGAGTTGACCAAGATTACTTCTGCTATCTCTCTCAGCTTTAAAATCCAGCTAAGAAAACCAAGGAAAGCAAATGGAGTATAAATAGGAAGGCCCAAAGAAGAAAAGCAAAATGGTAATGAAGAGACTTTCTGTTTCCCATATAATAACACCACCTCCATAGTTCGTTCCCATTATATGTTGGTGCTGAAAGAGTGACACCATATGGTCAATTCCCAATTATCATGGCCAATGGAGAGGAACACTGAATGTATAACAGAGAAAATGGCAGACAATATGCCAGGCTTGATCCAAACCACAGCAGACATGGTGTGAGCCAGGTCAGGTGTGGAGTATGCTGCTGCTCAGCCAGGTGGGGGAATGGTGCGAAACCCCATGCTTGAGAATATAGTCATGGCCGCAGCCCTCCTCTAAGAGGCAGGAAATAGACCTTGAATCATTTACAAATAATCGAGACTGGCAAGCAGAAACCTGACTAAATGTTCTGTTGTTAAAAATTCTATGGAGCAGGGTGCCTGGGTGACTCAATGGTTAAGCATCCAACTTGTTGGTTTCAGTTCAGCTCATCATCTCATGGAACATGGGTTCAAGCCCCACGTTGGGACTCCACACTGACCGTGCAGAGCCTGCTTGGGATTTTCTCGCTCTCCCTCTCTCTCTGCTCCTCCCCCACTCATTCTCTCGCTTTTGCTCTCGGAATAAAGAAACTTTTTAAAAATTATATAGAACTAAAAACTGTATTTTGTGGCTTGGATAATGTCATTCATATTTTCTTACAATCTTAAAACTCCTTAATCACCTAAAGAGAATATTGGCTCCACATGTATACTGCAAGCATGTTTTATGTAACGATAAAGCTATTTTTAGATTTTTCATTAGAATCTTAGTTTTACCTTTTCTACGTTTCTCAAGGTAGCCAGCCTTTAAAACAAAAGGAAGGTCCTGTGCTGCAATTGGAGGAAATTGGTTTCCTGTAGGAAGCAGAAGAGGGAAAAAAGTAGTGACTAATCCATGTTCGAAAAACCAAGCACCAGATCGCATTAGATTCAGCATCCTTTTAGTTACCCAAATTACTGCATTCAAGTCTATTAGCTTTGTTTCTGATCCATTCATAAACTAGTCCCTCTCCTATAAATCTCAACAGCAAAAAAGTGTTCTGAACTCCTATACCTTAATATATTATGCTCTTTCAAACACAGTAATCTTATGTAGCTAGATGATCTCTGCGGACATGATCTACATTCTATAAAGAAAGAATCAGGGAACTACTATCAATAAATGCCATAAACCCCTGAAAGAGAAGTTAGGAATTTCAAACAAATCATATAAGCTTCTTTACATTTATATTAAATCAACTCTTCAAGAATTTTAATGCTTGTTGATTGATTCTTACCTGCATATCTCCCTTCCTACCAACCAAATCATAAAATGATTTTTCCCCAAAAAAACCAAATGTCAAAATTGGTTTCTCTGAGTACATAGCAAATACTCCCTCCTCCTGGTTGTACTCAAAGAGAAATCTTGTAGACATTCAGCTGAATGCTCCAGGTTTTTCTAGGACATTTGAGAGTCCAAAACTAGATTAAAAGATCTATCAGAACTATCATAAACAAATATTAGGTACTACAAAAAATTGAAAGATTAAGCCAAAAGTTCAGTCAATTAGAAGTCATATATTCATGGTCATGAATAATAGGTTCCTCAATAATCTCACAAGTGTTCAATGTTTTTATAAACTTCATTAGCAATATAATAGTTACCTCAGCATTTTACTAGAATTCTAACAAGTGAAAATAACCAATCTAATGAAAGTTTTTATGGAAATAGCATCAATATAGCTTATGATTTTTTTAAACTGTTTTGATAGAAAGTTTATTATACACAAATTCATCATAGAATTACCAGGTAAGTTTGTTTGTTTGTTTGTTTTTAATAATAGTAGAGGGATCAGGGTAATTATAAAATCATAGATATTTTTCTTCAAGAAATAATGTTTAATATAAAGATATTTTTCTTTAAGAAATAAAGTTTAAAATTAAACCTAAGGGGCACCAGGGTGGCTCAGTCAATTGAGTGTCCAACTCGATTTTGGCTCAGGTCATGATCCCAGGGTCATGGGATCCACCCCTGCATCAGGCTACACACTGAGCATGAAGCCTCCTTAAGATTCGTTCTCTCTGTCTCTGTCTCTGTCTCTTGTTCACTCTCACTCATTCTTACACTCTCTCCCTCTGCTCCTCTCCCTCCCTCTTTCCCCTCCCTAAAATAAATTAATTAATTAAATAAATTAAAGTACCAATTTCAGTTCCCTGGTAGATCAATTTAACTCAACGTACAAAACAATTATCATTAAAATCTATTTTAAGTAGTGCACTGATTTTGAAATGTATATAAAATTTTAGGGAAAGCCAATGCAAACATCTGAATAGTTTTTCAGTAAATGTATCCATGTTTCCTTTTGCCAGAATAAACTTGATCCATATAAAGGTAAAAGTTATTTAGTATAATATTTTTGTAGGGGCACCTAAGTGGCTCAGTCGGTTAAGCATCCAACTTTGGCTCAGGTCTTGATCTCACAGTTTCTGGGTAATTATGGTTTGATTTAGGTTTTTAACCTAGGCTATGCTGACAAAAAGTAAATAGAAATGTTGTATCAAACAGAAATATGAAATTCTAGCTGCTACAAAATTATTTAGGAAATTTTTCTTTCTAAATAAGAGTCCTGAAAATAAAGGACTTAACTCCTCCAACTAGCAGGATCATAGTTTAATTTCTGTGGATCCCTGCTTGTGCTCAGGCTTTTACATAACTGGGATGTAGAATTCTTAAGTCAACTACACAAGATCTCATTGCAAGAAGCATCATATGGGTGGCATTTCAGAATGAGAAAGCAAACATATTCATTAAATATTTTAACGTGATGATTGTATGTCATGAAAAAATTTACAAATGGTTTGTCCACAGTAGTAAACCCAAGAATATCCACTGCAAACATCCTATAAATATTTCTGTAACTTTAAGATGCTGGATACAAACTCTAAAGCAGTGTTTGTTTTAGATAAAATTAAGCTATAGGAGAAGAGGCAACCTTCCCATCTGAAGGTCTGATGGTGCTGCTTTAACTGGACATGCGAGGCATCTCCACTTGGCTAGGTCAGGCTCACTGCAAAGTCGTCCCGTGACTCTCTCACTTCCACTGGGGCATAATAAATGTTCTTCACATAACAAATAAACACTCTAGGGGCGCCTGGGTGGCTCAGTCAGTTCAGCATCCGACTTTGGCTCAGGTCATGATCTCACGGTTCGTGGGTTCGAGCCCCGTGTCGGCCTCTGTGCCGACAGCTCAGAGCCTGGAGCCTGCTTCGGATTCTGTGTCTCCCTCTCTTTCTGTGCCTCCCATGCTCCCACTCTGTCCCTGTCTCTCAACAATATATGTTAAAAAAATTTTTTTTAAGTGCCAAACTGCTTTAAAAAATTAAAAAAATAAACACTCTAAATCCTAAGAAAAAACTTTATTCTGAAGGGAAACAGGTGCCTTTAGCATAAGTTTCCATTTTAGAAATTTATCAGTCCAAAAAAAAAAAAAAAAAAAAAAGGAGGAGGAGAAAGGAGAGAGGAGCAAGAACACGAGAAGGGAATAGGAAGTTAGTGAGTCTATACATAACCTGGTGCTGTTGCCTTAAAATTTTCCACCTCATAAATCCAATAAAACTTGATGCCACAAGCAATACTTATTATGAATTCCAATATCATGTTTCTAATATAAAATCTTTTATTTCATTCCTAAAGGGGGAAAAAAAACCCAAGTTTTTCTGACTGAAATTTCATTTTTCTAAATTTGCTATTTGTCCAATATCTAGGATTTGTTCAATGCACATGTGAATTTTTAAAGTTTATTTATTTTTTATATGTGGTTATATGTGCATTAATATGCACATGTGAAGTTTTTTAAAAAAGGTTTATTAATAGTAATTCTTTTAGGTATTTTAGATTTTAAGTTCTTAGAAGAATCATTTGATTTACTTGCATAACACCATAAATATATAAACACTTAATACTTTTTTATTTTTACTTTTTTTTAATGTTTATTTTTTGAGAGACAGAGACAGTACATGAGGGAGGGGCAGAGAGAGAGGAAGTCACAGAATCTGAAGCAGGCTCCAGGTTCTGAGCTGTTAGCATAGAGCCTGACATGGGGCTTGAACTCACAAACTGCAAGATCATGACCTGAGCTCAAGTCATACACTTAACTAACTGAGCCACCCAGGCGCCCCTCAAATTTTCTGATGTAGATCATTCTCTTTTTTTAGGAAGTCATTAGTAATTCTTTTGGAATTTTCTTATAGTTAGGGTGGTATTTTATTGACAAGACCACTTTTAAAAAAAGATAACTCAAGAGTTCAAAAATATGTCTGGAAAATTTTGCCTTAAAAATAAACTGTGTATATAGTAGACGTAGTATACCAGCAAGCTAACGGAGTAGATTCTAGAATCTGAAAAATGGAGAATTCCAAAGTATGAAACTCAAAAACAAATTACCTAAAAACTGGGGTATTACCCAATCTTAGCAATTTTATTATATTAAACTATTGTTTTAACATTTTCCCTTGAATCTAAGAAGAAAAATACTTGAAGGCTTAAATACCTGCAATGTATTTAAGAAGTTAAAATTTTAACTATTTATTTAACTATCATTTTTCAAAGTGAAAAATAATTACTTCAAAGTCAGAGAAAAATATGAACTTTCTTTGCTAGGAAGTATCACGTAGGTATATTTCACATTAGGTTAGCTGGGTATAAAACCTATTTTAGCATTATATGGTAGGAAGGTGCATTCCTGCAGAGAGGCTAGGGAAAGGTGGGAAAATAGGTATAGACCACAAAATGTTTTACTTGAAATAGGCCACAAAATGCTTAACTCGGAAGAAAAGACCTTGACCGTCATGGAAATCTTTTCAGTAGAAGAGGGAGCAAGAGCAAGGAAAAGAAAGTGAGTTAAAAGTTGGGAGGTGGGGAAGAGTTGAGGGAAGAGAGAAGGCTGACCATCCTTTCTTTTCTGTATGTCTTTTCTCAAAATAAATAAGCAAAGGCTTGTTTAATTCGCAATGTTGTCTGGCACTGAGTGTCTCGATGCACAATTCCTGGGCCTTTGAAAGCACCGTGTTTCCTAATCCACTTCTTCCCTCACACACACACACTTATATCAACCTGTCTGACACCTCTTTAAATGCATTTATTTTTTTCTAAGACTTACAGTGAGGCACCATTTCTGAAGCACAATTTAAAGATTTCTTTTTTTTTTAATTGTAGGAGTTCTAACTCCTAAGTCCCGGGTTTAACTTTTTATTTAGTTTCCTTTCTGTCTACTTGGCTCTTCATGTGGAACTATGAAGAGGTGTCAAGAGATGGGAGTAATTCAGAGACATTTTGAAAATAGACAACTGCTTTTCATTACCTTTTTTATTTTCTGGTCTGCAACTTTGGGGCCCAGCGCAAATGCTAGACTTCTAAGGAATCTAAAGCCTCATTTTTACTATTTTATTATTAATAAATTATTATAGTTTACGAGTTTTGCTGTGTTAATATGTTCAAAGTTTTATGATTCTTCAATCTAGACTTTGCTAGGTTTCTGAATCTCACCTTTTACTGGTTTTGATTTTCCCTTTACTACTTAGTATTTGTATAGTTTTCAACATGAACATTAAACTTTCAATTAATATAATTTTCCCTCCACATTTACACAACTGATTCCTCTTCCCTCATACTGGGGGTTGGGGGAGATATGTAAAAAAAGATTGGTTTTCCTCATAAGAATTATCACCCTGAGTCTGGATCTTGATCTACTGTAGCCATGCAATGTGTTTTCCTTGAACTGCAAAAAGTTAAGGACAAGTTTATCTAAATCTTTTAAAATTCCTCATTTCTGCCTGAGAGTTGGGATACTGAGTTCCATAAAGTGGCTACCTCTTTG